ACATTGCAACTTTGCTGAAAATGTTGATGGTTTCTAGAAGTTTTCTGGTAGAATTTTAGGGATCTCTTACGTATCATATAATATCCTCTGTAAGTAGTGATAATTTAACCTGTTCTTACCCTATTAGTACCCCTTTATTTTCTTTCTCTTTTCTTATTGCCATAGGTAATGTTTCAAGCACTATATTGAAAAGGAGTGGGACAGTGAACAGACTTGACTGACTACTGCTTTTCCTGGAAATGCTTTAAATTTTTCTCCACTTAGAATTATACAGGCTGTGGATGTTCTATAAATAACCTTAATTACGTTTGAGGTATATTCCCTCCAATTTCAATTCCCTCCAGGATTTTCATCATGAAAGGATGTCAGATTTGGTCAAAGGACTTTTCCATGTCTATTGAGATGATTATGTGATTACTGTATCTAAGTCCATTTATATGACTTATTATATTTATTGACATATATATTGAACCATCCCTGCAGCTCTGAAATAAAGCCAACTTTACCATGGTGGATGATATTTTGGATATTCATTAGGCATACTGGCTTATAGTTTAAGGTTATTAAAGAAAGATGTGTATTAGTTACTATTATTTCATTTTCTGTTTGTGTTCTTCGTCTCATTTTGTGTTTCCATAATTATGCTTTCATTTGTTTTCTTTCTATAACCTTTTGGGTATGGTCATTTCTTTCTTCAGTGCTTTGTATTGCTTTAAGTATTCTCTGTAGTTGTGGTTTGGTGAACATCAATTCTTTCAACCTAGTCATATCATGGAAGGCCTTTCTCCTTTGACTGTGACAGATTTTTAAAAAAATTTTTACTATTCTTTTATTTTCTGTGTGTGAGTGTATTGTCTGCATGCAAGTAGGTGCACCCATGTCATGCAATTCCCATAGGGGTCAGAGGTGTCAGATCACCTGGAACTGGAGTTATGGATGGTTGTTAGCCACCATATGGGTATTGGGAAAAGAACCTGGGTCCTCTCCAAGGGCATCCACTGCTCATAACCACTGAACAATTCCTCCAGTCACTATGATAGATTTTCTGGATAAAGTATTCCAGGTTTGAATTTGAATAATAGTCATTTAGAACTTAGAATACATTGCTCCAGGTTCTTCTGGCTTTTATAATTTGCATTGAAAAGTCACCTGTAATTCTGATGGGTTTTCCTTTATATGTAACTTGGTTTTCTCTTGCAGCTTTCTGTATTCTCTCTTTGTTCTATACATTTACTGTTTTTACTATGACATGCTGTGGGGAGTTTCTGTTCTGGTCCTGTCTATTTGGTGTTCTTTGTGTTTCTTGTATCCATGTGGGTATGTCTTTCCTTAATTTAGGGAAGTTTTCTTCTACAATTCTGTTGAAGATCTAGTCAATGCCATTGACCTGAGATTCTTCTCCTTCCTCGATGCCCATAATGCATGGATTTAGTCTTTTTTCTGGTCCCACAATTCCTGCATGCTCCTTTTTCTGTATTTTTTAAACATTTCATATTCTTTGCTTAAGAGGTCCGTTTCTCCAACTTTATCTTCCAGACTTGATGTTCTATTTTCCATTTGATTCATCCTGCTAGTGAGACTTTCTCCTGTCATTTAATTTTGGCTCATTGAGTTTTTCAATTCCATCTTTATTTAAGCTTGAGTTTTCATCAATATTACTATTTCTTTTGTGAATTTACTTTTAAAATTGTGAATTATTTTTGTCATTTGCATTCATATATATGCATTTTCTTGATCTTTCAGAAATTTCTCCTGTCCTCTTAGACTTCTATGAGTTGTTTGCATGTTCTTTAAATTCTTTGAATTCTTTGTTCTTTTAAGTCTGTGTCCTAGGGTTCCTCTGGGTAGTTCTCATTGTAGAGAACTTCTATAGGACTGATGGGATTTGGTGGGAACATATTATCTTGGTTTCTTATACTATTTGGGTTTTTGTGTTGTGACCTGGGCATATGGACTTCTTTTATTGGTTGTGTGTCGATGTGAACTTCTACCCTGCGTTGGTTGAGCTGAAGTTTGGTTCTTTCTCTACTGTTGTAGCTTGGCTGCTTTCTGATCAGGTATAGCTGGTTGGTCTGTGCATTGTTTTCTGGCATGGCCCAGAGTTTTTTTCATAAAGTCTTTCCTATCCCTGTATCTTCAAACATTTTTCCTGTCTTTCACTGTAACAGTTTTATAGTCTCCAGCCTTACATTAAGGTCTTTGATACGTCTGAATTGTTTTTGTGCAAGCTGAGAGATAAGTATCTAGTTTCATTCTTCCACATGTGGACATCATTTTCATGTCACTACTGTTTGAAGAAGCTGTCTTCTCTACAAAACATGTTTTGGGTATCTTTGTGATAAGTCAGCTGGGCTATTGGGAATATTCCTGGGTATTCTATTATATTCAGCTAATTTACACGTCTGTTTTTGTATCAGTATCATTCTGTTTTTAATATTATGGTTTTATGGTATAATTTGAAAGATGGTACTGTGATACTGCCAGCATTATTCTTTTTGCTCAGGCTTGCTTTGGCTATCCAGGTCTTTTGTACTTCCATATGAATTTTAAGATTAGTTTTTGAGCTCTGTAAAAAATGTCTTTGGAATTTTGATTGGCAGAGCATTGGATGTGTAGGTAACTGCTGTGTGATTTTTTCCTGAGAAGGCATGGGGAAAAAAAATCTACTCACTCTAGGTAGGGCAACAATGAGATACTAAATTTGGTTTGCAATTATGTCATTAACAAATTTGCAGCCATCATCATCAGGGAAGTTGATCTATAATTATCTTTGTGTGTGTGTGTGTGTGTCCTTGTACAGTTTTGCTATCAGAATGACACTGGCTTCATAAAATGAACTTGGTGCCACTTTCTGTTTCACGGAATAGTTTGTGGAGAACTGGTGTTAGTGCTTCTTCAAAGGTTTGGTAGAATTCAACAGTGAACACATTCTGGGTTTGTGCTGTTGGAAAGCTTTTCATTAGTGCTTCAGTCTCATTGTGTGTTGTAGATCTGTTAAGCTTGATGTCCTCTTGGTTCAATTCTAGTAGGTCATAGTTCCCTCTTTTCCAAAATAGTGTGTTTTTCTCTTTTCCAACAACTCATATTGCCATTAATAAAGTTTTATTACTATGGACTGATATCAAAGACATAAAAATGGACTCAGAGAACTCAATGTTTTAATGCATTTACTGAATGTTTTTTCCTTGTCCTTATATGAATATTCTCACTTTTACATTATCATTTGATGTGACCCTAAAGTGCTCTTAACATCACAATCATCCTGAAAAATACTGAAATTGTTCCTGTGGTCTATGTTTGTATAATTTCTATCTAATATCACACTTTTACCCAAGTTTACAGATTAAGACCCAGAAATAAAACAACTAATTAAATTTCTTAAGAGTATACTCACAATCACATCTTAAATTTATGGTCTCCTAAATTTTAGATTAGTATTAACTCTGTCATTAATTAGGTTTGAACAACCACTGACCCTCTTTAGAATTGGTTCCATGAGTTATCAGATAAGGATTTTCAACTGAACAATCTCTACAGTGCTTATTAGTGCCAAGCCCTCATTTTTAGTAGCAGAAAATTTTCATATTTTCTTATGAATAAACAATGTGATTTCTCACTGCTTATATCTCTTATATGGAAAACAAAACGAAATGCAGTGTTGCTTAAAGAATGACAGTAGGAATAAGTAGAGTTGTGTGGTGAGTAAAGAATGAGAAGACAAAGTGTATAAGATACAAGGTGAATTTATTACCTTCAAACACACTAGTATAAACTCTTTTTTGAGGGGGTGGGGATGATGAAATGATGTCATTAAAAAACCCACACTAATTTTGTTCCAACATATATAAAGGGATTGCAGTGGTATGTTGGAAAAGGCATGACAAATGTAGCATAAAAATGAAAGACTTAGTCAATTCTTTACATTTTATTATCTTTAATAGAATATAGTATTATTTAATCATGCCATAAAACAATTGTTATAAGATAGCTTACTGACTTGAGTATATTTATAATTAAGTTTTATTCTTCACTCTCTAAATAATATTATGATAGATTAGCCAATATCAGGTGCTTTTGAAATGCTATACAAATATGTCTTAATTTTTACTTATTTATATACATAATTTAATAAGAAACAATGAAAAGGATTTTAATATAATCTTGGCGTATAAAAGTGATATAAGGTTTCAGTTGATCCAACAAGATGAATAATTTACCATTAGAATGCTGTTAAATAACAGCAGAAGTTGTACTTTTACCTTGAAAAACTTTCATCATGGAACACAGCTGTAAAACAACTTTGACTTCAAATGGAAAGGCGATAATAAAGAGCCTCCTAGCTAGAATCAGGTTCAAGAGGTTTATGGTGGCAAACAGCAGAAAGGATGAAATGTTTCAATAAGCCCCTGAGGCTGATTTAGTTAGCATCCACAAAGTGGAATAACCTATACATCACATACTCTTTGTTAGCTGATTGTTTAGAATAGATGTATGAGTCACTGGGTTTTATTTTAGCACTTGGGCAATGCAGTTCTCCTTTTTCCCAAAATATGAAAATGCAGAAATGTGAAAATAAGAGAGGTGATGTCAAATTTTATACAGGATGTCTATCAGCTACTGTGGATCAAAAAATCCATTACATCTCACCATTCCATATTTCATTTTCATAGGCACAAATGATAAATTACTGCACATAAAAAATTCTACTATACTAAGAAGTCAACTGTGGTAAACAATTTTAAGAAATTGCAAGAAAGAGGTGTTGGAGGAAGAAAGCTTGCGAAATCAAAAGAAATCTGACAGAGAAGGATAGGCAAGATGTTATCCTGGAAGATTTTGGGTACAAATGAATCCCTGTGGTAGCTGGGTAATGGGGAATAAATACATGCACACACATGCACACACACACACACAGACATACACACACACACACACACACACCTAGCAGATACTAATTTATTTTGTTACTCTCAGACATTGCTGAGAATTAATGCGGGTACCTGCAACAATGCTGGCAAGCTGCTGGGTTCTAGAGATGGGGTATACACTGCGTGCCTGAACAATTGCTGAAGCAATCTTCTTGGCATGCTTCTCTTCCCCATAGGCTCTTAGGATGGATGCAAGTGCTTGTTGATCTAAAGCATTTACAACATCAGCAGCAGTAGGCAAGTTAGGGTACCTATGCAGAAGAAGAGGCAATCAGTTTGTTGACATCATTTTCATTGACAAGACTTGTTACTTAAGAGTACTGAGGATAAAAATTCAGGCATACCAAATATATCAGCTAGGAGAAATTCTTGTGTTTTAAAACAAAGACTGAAATATCACACAAATGAAAGAGTTTCCATTTTACATGATAATCATTATGGCAATAAGAATCTGTAATATTCATGTGAGTCAAGACTGTGGGAATTTAAAATATTTTGCTTTTAACTTTAATTCATAAAAAGCTATTATTGATCATGTAGGTCTCTCTTAAACTAAAATAATCAAATAATGTTTGGACTTAAGTGGTCAACATTTAAATTGCTGATTAAATTATTATTTTTCTTTAGACTAGAAAATACAATGCTTACAATGATAGTTGAACACATTTAGGTGTCAGAGAGGAAAAAATGTTAATCATGCATATTTCAAATGTTTAAAAATATGAGCTCAGCTATCCATCACAAAAGTTGCCATGGATTGAAACCTAGAAATAAGCAGCACTGACTGAACAAGCCTGCATAATAACTTCAAGTGGATAATAAAAAGAAATACCAACTTCTAGTTATATAGACTAAATTATATTAGTAGAAAATAACATTCATTTTCAGATTATTCCAGTTTATTTTAATTTAGATAAGTGACCAAGGAATCCAAATTGATAAACTAACCATGACTTCACTTGTTAGAAATACTTGCAAATAGTACTGTTACTCCTACACTAGTAGGTTGGATTATTGGTTTCAAACCAAAGAGTTATATTAATTATACATTTCAAATATATAGGAGTTTTTAGATCTGAGGATCAAACTAGAGAAAGATTTCTAGAAACATCTGAAACTCTCTGAAAAATTATTGAGCTATGCCTTATTAACCTGCTTGTGCCTTCAAGAGAAATTCTTATCCTTGGCATGAACTCCATTTTGTGGTGTCTGATTCTCTTTCTCTCCTCTCTCTCTCATTGTAGGGAGAGGAAAACTTTATGTTCTACATGAAATGTTTTTTTCCTAGTTTACATGACATTCATTATCAATGAATGTCTCATAAGGTAGCCTTAAGTTTCGTCTCAGTGGGCTTTGTTTGTTCAGATTACAGATAAGAAAATGAAGATCTTGTCCTAAGGGTCTGATTCATGTAGATTAGAATCCTGGCTATGCTATTCACATTGGAGAAAAGTTTTAAATCCATTAGACCTTCAATTTTAAACAGGAAGTGAATGTAATAATGCTTACCTCAATTACCAGAATTGGTGGGAGAAGTAGGGATACATGCAATAGTAAATATAGATAGTATAAATCTTGGGCAATGAAGGCTCATGTCCTTTTGATTTTTTCCATTTATATATTTATCAGTAATCATTTTTGTCTTACATGATAAAAACTCTGCTAGTGTTTACCCACCTGTGAATTCATTTACCAAGCTACTGACCATTGGAATGGACCCTGTTAATGATGGTAAGTTTAGACCTTTAGCTCTACTATGACTTGTAAGATAATATGAATGTACTTGGTTTTTCATGATAACTTTCTACTTAAAATTTATTTATGTGTTTATTTTTAGGTGTATGAGAGTTTTGCCTATGTGTATGTAGGCACATCACATACATACAATGCTTTTGAATCCCAGAAGAGGGCTTTGGATTCCCTAGAACTGGACAGCTGCTAGCTGCCATGTGGATGTTAGGAACTGAACCCAGGTCCTCTGCCCCAACTTTCTACTTTTAAACATGAAAATTAAATAGCATTTTAATTAACTGACATTCAATGGGCAACAGGTATACTTTAATTCTTCTATTAACAGCAAATAGTACTGCAGAAGTTTCTAGTGTGTTAGAAGATAAAATGAACATCATTGTGGGGTCTTGGCAGGCCAGAAAAACAATTTAGAATGGGCATTAATATGATGACTAGGTAAAAACACAAGAAATACTCACCAACAAAGAAGAGGTTTTGTCTTGTCAATTCTACAGATTTTACTGGCTTATAGTGACTAAACTCAGAAGAGAAAGTCTTTTTATTTATTTATTATTTTTAATATTTTATTATTTTTATTTTACATGTATGCATGCAATTGTCTGCATGTAGGTAAATGCACTCATGTCATGCAATGCCTGTGGAGGACAGAAGAGACTGTCGGATTCCCTAGAACTGGAGTTACAGACAGTTGTTAGCTGCCATGTGGGTGTTGGGATTCAAACCCGGGTCTTCTGCAAAAACAGTCAGTGTTATCTGCTGAGCCATCTCTCCAGATGAATAAGAAAAAGTCTTAATGTGAGTACTTATTATGTCCTAATAAAGAGGTTATCTGCTAACAGAACGAGACTTTCCAATCCTGGAAGCTGTAAACTTCTCAGTGCTGCATGCAGAGACAATATAATCTAAAAGCAGTGACTGTTGAAATTGAAATCAGCATAGAATTAAGACTCCAATTCGGAATGTCTTTTGTGTTCATCTTCATCACAGGGATAGATTACCCTCCAGGATCAGACAGACCATGTATTTTGGGCCATAGCCTACCTCTCTCCACTACACAACTCAAATTAACATTGCAAATCTCTGCATGTCCAAGTTTCCTTTTCATATAAATTCAAATGAAATGGTTCCTCTTTTCTGAGTACCTAATACAGGTTCCACTCCATACCATCTACCTGGAAGCTATTCAGTCTTTAAACATAATTATGTCAGCTCTAACATCATACATCAGATATTGACTTAAGAGTTTAATTCTCAGGAGCAATCTTGTTTTGAAGTTCTTGGTGGCGAGCCTCATGAATGCTGATTTCCAGACTAAAATTTGCCCGAGAAGCCTTCATATGAGGAATACAAGCATTTACCACTTTTAATTAAAGCTTTGTTCACTCTATTACAGAAAGCATCATCCTTAGCAAGACACAGGAACAGCAGAAATTTGTTTGACATTTCATTATTTCTGTACAAGCACCTCAATCTCCAAACATGAGAATATATTTGACCTTTACTATCAGTCACTGGTTGTTAAAGGATTTTAAAAAATTTTTCTCTTATGGTGATATCCTTCATTCTGTGAATGCCAATAAAGCATACAGAGGAAGGCACATGACCTAGAACAATAGGAGTCTAACAAATATGTCACAATGCAAGGTAACAAGTCATGTCATACCACAAGGGACGAGGCTGCATGTGAGTAATTAATACGAGACAAAGTAGTTTGTGGCATGATATGATGTGACCAAGAAAAACAAAGTTAAACTCAGTAAATGCAGATTATTCAGGCCCTGTGCCACTGGTGGGCTCAGATATAAGTACTAACCTAAGCTTTTAAAATTAATTTAGATAAAAATGAAGTTTTGTATACTCTTTTAAAGTGTAAAACACTTTAAAACAGATTGTGTCTATCTGTATTTGAATAATAGTGAGCAAACACTAGTATTCCTATAATAATGAAGAATGAAGAGAAGACTGATGTGATATCTCTATGCATAGACATGTATAAATGAAAACATGTCCTTATATTCGGATCTGATATAACACCATAAACTGCAGTTCCTTCAGAGAAGGTACAACTAACACAGCCATATAAGAGAAATGACAAAAACACAAATGCTGACCTTAGGATCTTGCCATTTTTTTCAGCACTATAAAAAATACAAATTAAGTAGGGACATGCTTAAAAACCATTGCTTCAGCATCAAATTCATCAACAGTTAAGAACACATATTGTATCCCTGAAAAAAATGATAGCCTGAAAGTTATCCTTCACAGAGTATTTTCTGTAAAGACAGTAAATATTTTTCTTTTAGAATTACAAACCAAAGAAATACTACAATCTTCTATAATAAGTAGCCAACGAAACTGATTTACTATGAGTAGTGTTAGGTGTGAGTGTGTGCTGGGAATTCTTTCTTCAAGGAAATTAAATTATGTTTTGGACAAATTGACTTTCTGTTGTCAGGAAAAATGCTTTATCAGTGCTCACCTGCCACCATCCATCCTCATGTCCAAGGGACCATCCTTCCGAAGGGAAAAACCTCGTTCAGCAGAATCAAGTTGAATGGAGGAACACCCAAGATCCAAAAGAACTCCATCGACAGTCCCTGGCTGCACCCCAGCTTCCATTAACAAAGCCTCTGCCTGGCTGAACTGGCTGAGAATAGCGTGGATCTGCTTCCTGTGAATACACCCAGGAGATGAAAAATTCTATTATGTTAGTCATTCTTTTTTAAGTTTTTAATTTTTTTATTATTAAGAATTCTATAAATGAGTATTGTATTTGCATTATTTCCACCCCTCCTAGCTCCCTTCAACACCAGTGTCCCCCTACTCCCTCCCAATTGTCCTCTTTTAGTTTTGTTACATATAGATATAGATAGATAGATAGATAGATAGATAGATAGATAGATAGATAGACAGACAGATAGATAGATAGATAGATAGAAAAATGATAGGGGGTAAGGAGGGAGAGATAAAACACATTAAGTCCATTTAGTGGTGCTTGAGTACCTGTATGTAGGACTTCACACTTGGGATTATATTAGTCTTAAAGTCTATGAGAAAATGAATGGAGTGCATCCTATCACTGGAAAATTTAATCAAAATAAACTTACTCTGTTAAGCATTCGCTTATTACTATATAAAAACATTGATACAGAAATTATGCATTTTTTATTTCAAACATTGGAGCTAATTTAATACAATCTGATTCTTTTCTTATCTTATTTTATATGTATGTAGGTGCACCCATGTCATGCAATGGCCATGAGGTCAGAAGAAGGCGTCAGACCCCTGGAACCAGAGATATGAATGGTTGTTAGCTGCCATGTGGGTGCTGGAAATCAAACCCAATGTATTAGTCACTTTTCTGTTGCTGTGGTAGAAACACTAACAATTTATAGAAGGAAGGGTTTATTTGAGCTTACAGTTCCAGGGGAATTACAGTCCATCTTGGCAGGGAGGCATGGTGGCAGAGGTGGCTGGAGGAGGAGGGGAAGCTAAGCTCTCACATCAACAGGCAGGCACAGGAAGCAAGAGAGCGATGGCGATCTGGCAAGGCTTAAGAACTCTCTAAGCCCACCCTCAGTGATGTGCTTCCTCCAGGATAGCCATACCTTCTGACCGCCCCCCCCCCCCCCCGCAAACAGCGCCACTATCTAGGAACAGAATGTCCAAATACCTGGAGCCTATGGGGGACATTATCATTCAAACCATCAAACTCGACCCCCTGACCCCCAAAGCTCATGACCATATAAAATCCAAAATGCATTTAGTCCAACTTTAAAAGTCCCCATAATCTTTATCAGTCTCAATACCACATCTCAATACTATTTAAAAGTCCACAGTCTAGTCTTTTCTGAGACTCAGGTAAATATCTTAACTGTAAGCCTCTATAAAATCAAAAGACAAATTACTCCTAACATACAGTGGAATGGAATACAGATTAACATTCCAAAAGGGAGGAATGGAGGCATAGTAAGGAAATACTGGGCCAAAACAAGACCGAAAACCAGCAGGGCAAACACCAAATCCAGTAGCTCCATGACCAAATTCTGGGACTTTACTTCCAAAGGGCTTAAATGTCTCAGTCTCTCTAGCTTTGCTGCATGCAACACACATCTCTCTCTTGTGCTGATACCACTCCCTGTATGCAGATCTTCTTGGCAGATGCCTCACAGCTCTGGCATCACGAACTTCTTGGGGTCTCCATTGCCAGCCAGGCTTCACCTTCACAGCTCCATGCAATGGTCTATCAGGGCCTTCTCTAGGCAGGAATACCCCTGCATCACACTGCCTGGCCTCCGAGGTTCTCTGAAACCTTAGAAGAATTGATGCCCTCTTCACTCTTCCATCTTTCATGCCTCTAAAGCCAGCACCAGGTGAACAACACTGCCAAGTTTGACCACAACTTCATGGTGGACACCAGACTGCTTTATCCATTTTAGAAGCTTTTCTCTTCCATGGCCCCTGCAGCATTTTCCTTTCACAAGTTGGAGGCTTAAGTCTGTGTTGTCTTGCCCTGGAGGCACTCTCTCCACTGTTTAAGCCCAAATTTCTAGGCCCCTCCTTAATTACTTTAATCTCCTTATTAAAGGGATCTTCTCCAGCACATGCCAAAGCTCCAACATTGATCTTCCTAGTGCTTTTTTTCAATCCAAACTGTATTTCTTTCTGCCCCATTTGCTCTTTTTCACTGTAGATCTGCATAATATCCACCAGTAATATCAATGCCACCATTTCTACATTAGGTTGTCTTGAAATTTCTTCCACCAGAGAAATTAGTCCATTGCTTTTCAACTTAGCCTCAGGCAAGCTTTTTGGTTAAGGGCAGACTCCAGCCAGACTCTTTGCCAAAATATTCCAAGTGTTGCTGAAGTCCTTATTTCCCTCTGGAACTACATTGTTCTCAGCACTACTTTCTTCCAGGTGTTTACTAGAGGGGCCTGTTAAGCTCTACTTACAGCAATCAACCACTATTCTAGCCCAAACTTCCAAAGTCTTCCACATTTTTCCAAAACTCCACATGGTCAGGTTCTTCAGAGCTAACACCCCACTTCTGGTACCAAATTTTATTAGTCACTTTTCTGTTGCTGTGGTAGAAACACTGAACCAAGCAATTTATAGAAGGAAGGGTTTATTTGAGCTCACGGTTCCAGGGGAATTACAGTCCATCTTGGCAGTGAGGCATGATGGCAGAGGTGGCTGGAGGAGGAGGGGAAGCTAAGCTCTCACATCATCATTTAGGCACAGGAAGCAAGAGAGCGACCGGCGATCTGGCAAGGCTTAAGAACTCTCTAAGGCCACCCCCAGTGATGCACTGCCTCCAGGATAGACACACCTTCTAAAACCTCCCCAAACAGTGCCACCATCTGGGGACAGAATGTCCAAATACTTGGAGCCTATGGGGGACATTATCATTCAAACCATCACACTCAGGTTCTCTGCAAGAGCAACCAGTGCTCTTGAATGGTGAGCCATCTCTCCAACCCCACAATGTTATTCCTATTAATAAATAAAAATTTATTTTATACTTTTCAAAAGGTATATAATACTTTTAGAAATCAGAAAAATTCCAGTCAGAATAGATTTTGCATTCTTTTCTTTGTTTTATTTATTTTATTTTTTAAATTACCACTAGCTTAGCAGGGCCCTGCCTTCCACACAACTCCAAAATACCTGGAGTTTGACCTGAAACCAGGCAGAGACCCCCAGATCCAGTGCACCTGCTTCTAGCTTAGCAGAGATCCTGCCTTCTGTGCCACTCTAGGACCCAGCAGAGTCAGATCAAGAGCCACAAGTAGAGGCCAGCAAGCCCAGTCTGCCTGCTTGCTAGTTATTCCACCCACAGCTCAGTTCAGGGACCACAACTTTAACCATACGTAGGGACCTCCAAAGCCAGCCTACCATGCCACCTACCAAGACACTATATGGTGTCTTCCCTCCTCTATCCAAGAAAAGGATTACTATCTACTACCACTTGAGGGCAGGATGATGTCCAGTGACTTGCACCCATGGAGTGGGTGACATCAGCCTTTTCCAGCAAAGGACAACTTGTAGAATCTGGTGAGACCTCCACAGACTTAACAACAGCAGTGAGAATCGTCTAAAGCCACAGAAGATTTGCTCATCGGCTCAGAGGTTGCACCTATCCATATCTGAACTCAGGCCAATTTCTGACACTCTATTTACACATTAACATAGAGTGGCCCCAAATCTGAATACCAAGTGTCATTCAGCTGGTCCACAAGCTGACAAGCTGAAGTAACAGCAAAGATGGAAACACCTCAACAAATGCAAGATCACATATCCAAACCAAGAAACACCATCAACCACTCCAGGTCAGAACGCCAAGGCACGAACAATATGAATAACCAAGACAATATGTCTCCTTCAGAAATTAATATCTTGATCATAATGTTTCCTGAGAAAAGCTACTTTGCTAGTGCATAAGACAATGATTTCAAAATAGGGATTATAAATATGTTCAAATCAGCACTCAGCTTCCCTGGGCTGCACAGCCCACCAACCTCTTTCCTGGACACCAGGGCTGACCTCTCAGTCCAGGAGCACCATTGCTACCTTATCCCTTGCATCCAGACAGACACAGTTCCTTATCAAGGTCCCCAGGAGGCCTCTGGGCCTGTTCCTGCCCTTACTTCCCTCTGCTTCCCTGGGATGAATAACCCACCAGCCTCTTTCCTGGACACTGGGGCTGACCTTTTGGATTCCTGATCCTTTGCATCCAGACCAGCCCAGTTCCTCAGGGCAGTCCCCAGGAGCTCTTGGGGCCTCTCCCCAGCCCCCATCTCCCTTTGCATCTCTGGGTGGCACAGCCACCAGTTGCCCAAGACCAGGATCTTTCTGCCAAAGCACCAAAGGACATATTTTCTTCTCAGCACACCATGGAACCTTCTCCAAAATCGACCATATACCTGGGCACAAAACAAACCTCAACAAATACAAAAGGATTGAAATAATTCGATGCATTCTATCAGACAACAATGTAATAAAGCTTACAATCAACATCGGAAGAAGCTCAAGTCACCACATGAACACATGGAGATTAAACAACAAACTCCTGAGTGATGAATGGTTGAAAAGAGAAATTAAGAGAGAAATAAAAGTATTCATGGAACTACTCGAAAAGGATAATACAACACAACAAAACCTCTGGGACATGCTGAAAGCTCTCCGTAGAGGGAAGTTTATAGCTCTAAGCATCTACATCAAAAAAATTCGGAAAGACCATAAATAAATGATTTAACATTGCAAATCAAGACACTTGAAAAGCAACAACAAATGAAACCCAAACCCATCAGACAAGAAGAAATAACAAAACTCAGGGCAGAAATTAATGAAATCGAAACAAAGAAAACAATACAAAAAAATCAATGAATCCAAGAGCTTGTTCTTTGAAAAGATAAAAAAGATTGACAGACCACTAGTCCAGTTAACCAAAAAGAAGAAACAGCACCTCCAGATCAACAAAATCAGAAATGAAAGGGGAAACATCACAAGAGACACCAGAAAGATACAGAACATTATAAGGGAATACTTAAAAACCTATATGCTACTAAATTTGAAAACTTAAGAGAAATGGATGCATATCTAAAGGCATGGGAACCACCAAAACTAAACCAAGAAGAGATTAACAGCTTAAACAGACCCATATCACTA